AGGAGAGGGAGCAACTTATCGACAGAGAGAGCAACTCATCGACAGAGAGAGCAATTCATTGATACATCAACTGATTTAACGTTAAACTGTAAATTTAAGAAATAGCAGCTCTAAATGTTTGGTTGCAGACTCAAGCAAAATACGCAGAAGTTTCTCAAACAGCTATACACATTTTAATTCCAACCTGCCATCTTTTTCAGCGTACGTTGCAACAAAAACAGACTATAGAAACAAATTAAAGGCAAAATGTGAAATGCGGTATAATGCAAGGGTAGGTGACACCTAGAACACGAGTTAATGAGTGAATTACATTAGTTTTATATTAAATTATTTCAATACACAGGACAGTATTTTTGTTTAATTGTTTTTACATATAACATATATTACTTATCATGTAATTTATTGATCTATCCGCTCGCTTGAGACTTGAAGTGGGGGATCTTGTAATCACTTGAGAAGAGTTTTAAGAACTCAAAAATAGAGTAAAATTCACCACGCAGTTGTTTAAGTGATAAATGATACACAAGCCAAAATTTCGGGCGAACTGATTTAAGGTAAAATATTGACGTTATAACCGCCCTTTCAATTTGCAGTGCTCCAGATAATCTGGCATTTACCTTCAGCATGCCTGATAGGCTTAGCTGAGTTAGAAGATCAGTGATTCCCACTTTTGGCGATACATATAGCTGGCTTAATACAGAAATTAAAAATTTTGTTTATTTACTTATTACTTTATTAATTATCGATTTTTAAGTTTGTCCAAATTTTTGTATCAAAGTTTTACTTCTGTTACTTCTTATTTCAACAAGACAATTCTAATATATAAATGCCCTAACGACTTAGTTTCGTTAAGTAACTAACTTAACGTTTCTCTAGTTAACTAACATTAACTAACGAAAACTTCAATATATATTTTAATGGGAAATAGTTAGAATGGAAATAATTATTTTTTTGTATTTAGCAAACAGTTCCAGGAGATCTTTGTTGTATTCACACTTGATGTCTATTAGTTTGGACTCTCTGTTTATATGTATAAAATAGAATGATTGTTTTAGCTTAGAAGAAACAAACTGCATTTTATGAGTGTAATGAGTTTGTGAAATAAGGGGAGAAAGCATTAAATTGAAAATGAATATTTAATGATCAGTTTTTAAAAACGAAGACATTGAATACATTTACAATATTCATACAATCAATGGAAGGCTGACTAACGACTGTGAATGCTAATATATCATTCAATGAACTAACTCCAAAGAGTTAACCAGAGACGAACTTTGTCAGTAAGAGAGGCCCATGTTTGAATTCACTTGCTTGCATTATTGAGAAATTAAGTAATAATTCATAAAACCAAGAAACGCAGTTTTGTAATGTATACAGACTCATGCCAATTATTGTATAAAAGGCATTTTTTGAGAGAGAAATTTTGTTACCAACACGGACTCATGCCATTATTTTCTGAAAGTTTTTTTTTTTTGGCTCCATAAATTAAAAAAAAATTGTGATGCATAGCGATTCGTTATAATTACCTTATGAAAAATCTTTTTTGCCACAGAGAACTTCTTTTTTCGAAAAACAAACGTAATTTTGTGAGGCACATGGATTTATGCCAATTATTTTATGAGAAATGTTTTTTCCGTTTGAAAAAATTTTATGTTTGATACAAAAACATAGTTATGACACACATGGACTCATGCCATCATTTTCTGAAAATGTTTCTTTTTTTCTCAGAGAAATGTTTTTGAAAAACATGCGCAAATTTGTGACGCATACGGACTCTTGTCAATTATTTTATGAAAGGTCTTTTTCTTTTGTTTGAAAGAAACTTTATTTTTAAAAAACATGCGTAATTTTGTTATGCACAGGGACTCATAATATTATGCTCTGAATTTTTGCTATGGGGGAAGGGAGTTTAAAGATTCCCCCCCCCCCGAAAAACAAGCGCAATATTGTAACGCATACGAACTCACGGCAATTATTATATGAAAGGTCTTTTTGTCTGAGAAAGTTTTCCCCCCGAAAAACAAACGCAATTCTGTGTCACATACATACTTATGCAATTATTTTATAATTTTTTTAAAAATTTTATTTGGTTTGCTCAATTTTCTATCTGTGTTTCTCTCAGAGAAATAATTTTTCGAAAACCATGCGCAGTTTTGGTCATGCATGTGACCTCATGGTAATTATTTTATGAAAAATATATGAGAGACCTTTTTTTTTTTCGAGAAACGTTTTCTTTTAAAAAGAATTATTAGTAAGAAACGAAGCAATGCTTACCTGAAGAAAGCATCTGAGTGAATAAAAAGTGCTGCTTTCTAAATACGATTTCAGAGATCTTCTAGTAGCATATTTTATAATACTTAAATTTTTCTCGCATATTTATAACTTTCATTGATAATTATTAAGAAGTTATTTTTATAGAATGCTATTTATATTATATCTTACTTTCTATTGTAATTTATTATTTGAAATAGAAATTCCCCAAAATAACGTACAATCTCAGAATACGAAACTTTATTTCACTAATTTTCAATTTTAGGCAAGGCAAAAATATTAACAAGATATTAAATTAAAATTCATAGATTCAAATTACGAACTGCAATGCATTAAAATTATTAACCTACATTTTAAATCCAATTTTCAACGATTTTCAGTTTATTATTTCCATATTTCGAAAATTTTACTATTAGAGAGACTTGCAACAAAACTGTTAATGAAATTCTATTTAATAATTCATTTTGGTTATATGAGCCTTCAATTTTCTACATTTACTTTAATCATATATAATAAGACACATGAAAATACGCAAATAAATTTGTACGGGTGATGTCTAAGAGAATAGACAATTTGATAGTTATATGTTTGAAGTATTTGTTGATGGTGTGAATTTTCGCAGTTTAAAAAAAATAATAAATCTATGTACACTCTGCACAAAAAAATGCGACGCTCCTATACCTCTCCTTCTACTGGGCCAATTGACGAAATTCTATTTGCGTTTTTCATGGCTCGAAAGAGCGACTTATAGCATTGTGCTAACATAGGTATTTTGAACAAAATCGGACTTTTCTCAAATGACATACCCATTTTGCTCTATATTTCGATTCTAAGACTGAAATTATGCCCAAAAAATAACAAAATTGGGTTAAAAACTTATTGAGAAATTAAAAAATTTATCTTGGCGCACTTTTTTTCATTTTGCGTCAAGAATAATTCACTTGGCGAAATTCTTAATATATAGTAACCTACTTTCCTTTCCCTTTTCCCATTATGCACGAGTAGAAAAAAAAAAGGTGAATCTTTCAAATAATTTTAACAAAGTGTTTAAAGCACAAGTGGCGTTATTATCGCTTGCGAAATAACATGCGAAATTTCAAAATATAAATTCAAGTATAGTTTTGGAAATTTTGAATAACAAACTCTAGTCTTTTGCAGATTTACCCCAAAATACATTTACTTTAAGGTGATGGTAAAAAATTTACAGGTTATAATTCAAAAAGAAAAAATTGTAATAGTTACTAAAAAATATAAATTTAAAAAATAAATTAGAAAATATCTGCGAATTTTATTTAGATTGAACTTAAATTTCGAACTGTGAAAGAAGGCATCAAGTAAATTTAATAAAAAGAAGGAGATATTAATAAATATATACAAAATTCAATTAACAGTGAGGAGGTAAAATTTTGAAGCTAATTTTTTAAAAACTACTCGCGTGATTTTTACAAATGAGAATTTTAGTTTTCATAATACTTTACAAATTACAAATTCACAATTGAACTGTACCTGGCCCACTTTTTTTTTTTTTTTGTGAAAGTTGTACATTATTTTAATTATTAGTTCAGTAGATTAAAGGAAGAGATTAGTATAACCTCCTGTTTACTGTTTCTTGTTACCATACTTACATTTAATTTGCTTTGTATTTTTGAGATTACTCCTGAACTTGTGTAAAGATATGATCCTTTTAAATAATGATATGTTCTACATGCATGTGTCTCATTCGGTCTCTTTTATCTCTTTGTACGACCTAACATAAAAGAAATATAGAGATGCGTTTTTTACTGCTGTTGAGTGTCCCAACTTATCACATCTTTACATTAAAAAAACTCTAAAACACCAACTTCACTAGTTAATATTTTCCAAGATTTTACACGAAAGCCTCCTTATAATATCACATCTCGTAGTTCATAAGGATTTCTTAATTAACGTTCAATTTCAAAAGAATTATTTGAAAAAATAATAGATTGTGACTTCATAATTATCTTGCTGGGATACTATTTTTTTATTATTTCAGTTAGAAGAAATTGTGCATTTGAAATAGTAAGATGCTTACAAACACACTTTTGATTATAATTTCCTGTTCGCAATAATTTAAGCATGCATACTGGAATATTTAAACGATATTTTTAAATTTAATAACTGACCAAAATTTGTCTTTTTTGGCATTAATAAGAATTAAAATTTTTAATTGTTATTAAAAGCGAATAATAGAGGAAAAATTTCAGAATGAAACAGAAAATAAACAGAAAAAAAAAAAAAAAAAAAAAAACATTTAATAAAGCTTTTTAATACAATTTTAAGCGCAATTTGAGCAGAGAATGAAATAAATTTTCCCGAAAACTTAATTATTTAGATTTCCGAGTACTAGATGGCAGCACTAACAATAAAAGTTTGTCGAAGCTACAAATTCCACTTCATTAAGTGCTCGCTTAAAGCTACAATTAAATTATGTGTATATGGCAAACAGAAAAACGAAATGGAAGAAAAATTGCGATCGTGGCTATGCATTAGTAGGAAATAAAAAACAAATTTAAGCAATATATGGCAACAGTTGTATAATTTTCATTTATTCCCGTAAGTATAGTCTTCCATCATCATAACAAAATTAATATTTTTTCCAATTTTTTGTCTTGTAAATTTCATGTATTTAAGCAAAAAACAAAATGACAAATAATTAAAATAAAACTAATTACTTAATGATGCATTTATAGATAACATATAAATTTCCACCTAGACAAAAATTAAATCTAATTAGAATTAATAAATTTTTGAGTTAAAATTAGTAAACTACTTAAATAATTTTCCTGGATCATTTAAATGAAAAGGAATTAATGAATTTTAATTATCAATTAAACAGAGAATCATTCATTTTTGTTTATGATGCATTACTTATTATTATTATTATTATTATTACATTACGATTACATGTAACTAATGCGCCTACATAAATATTTACGTGCAATGTATATAATCGCGTGTGTTTGTAAGCAATTATTTTAAGACAGATTTACAAAAAGTTATTGCTTAAATCCCCAGAGATCTCAGCGTCATTTCCTGATAACATATTTTTTAATACCATGATTGTAGGATTATAGTAAGTACGCATTCTCGCTGTAATACATAAAAAGGCTGAAGACAGATATTTCTCATAAATTCTAACATCAAGAAAGAAAAATCAAAGTTTGCCATATTAGACAATAAAGTTTAAAAAGCACATGCTTTGCCTCCAGTGTTTAGACTTAAGTAACATCCCTTGTTCCAAACTCATCAGACTTTGCCATCGAAATTTCATTTTAAGACTCTTCGGTAACATGGCTTGGTGTCGAAAGACACTGTTAAGTCTCTTCCAGGTATCTAGAGCTAAGACTTTTAGGACTGTGCAGAAGATTTCTGTCCAATCCGAGAGACGACGGACGAGAACAAGCCAGCATCAAATGAGATACGAGTTGGAATCATCATACACGAAGTCTCTCTATGTACAAAGAGGTCTCTGATTGAGAATAATTTAAGTTTGTTGTTAGAGCAGATATCTTTCCATGATGTCGTCGGCATCTTCTGCAGAAGAATCGAGAGCTGTATAAGCAGCGGAAAATCCCTTGGCATGGATGGTATCGTCAGAACGGAAACGGACCATCAACGTGTCAGTACTGGAAAAGAACTCTGGCGGCACCTGCAAGAATAATAACAAAGACAATCAGGAAAATCGATATAAATTATCATCAATACCAAAAGAATCAGAAAATCCTCTTGTTCCTCTCTAAGTGCTCAGCATGAAAAAAAAAAAAAAAAGTTCTAACAAAATTTATTACTAATAAAAAAGTAGCTTGATTTGCAATTCGATGTCTTCCTTTTAGTCCAAAGGAGCAATTTGCTCAGAAGGACTATTAATTTCGATTTGGCATTTAGCGTTGATTCACTTTTCAAATTGTTGCCAACAAAGATTATCGCCCTGTATTATACTTAAGGAAATTAAATAATGCAGAACCTGCATAAATGTTTCTCACATTGTGATAAAAACGGTGCCTAGAGCCATCCAGTTTTGAATAACGTAATCTTCCTACGAATATGGGCATCTGGAAGCCGAAATTTGAAATTTGGAATTTGTTTTATTATCAATTTCATATTCTGTAAAACTTTAACGAATTTTTCATTAACAAACTCAAGAATTTAAAGCCAGCAATGGCAATATTGTACAGAAAACACATTTTTATGTCCAGCGCGTGAGACTAGGTATCGGAAATTCTAAAGATGTGCTCATTTTAAAATTATTTTGCAATATTGCTGTTGAACTGAATTTTACGGTTTAAGTGCAAAGAACATGGCATTTAATAAATAAACGTAACGCACAAAACGTTAAAAAAACGCCCATTTGGACGTAATTTAAAATCTGAAACCTTTCAGATTTTTTTAATTTTTTTTATTATTATTAGTCCAAAGGGGCAATTTGCCCTGGAGGACTATTAATTTCGCTTTGGCATTTTGTGTCGAAAACTTTAAAAGGCTGTATCACTTTTCAAATCGTTGCCACCATATATTACCATCCTGTCTTATATTTAAAGAAATTAAATAATGAAGAACCTGCATAAATGTGCGTATGTTTCTGGCATTGTGATAAAACAACTAGAGCCATAAATTTTGAATAACGTAAATCTTCCATAGAATATGGGCATGTGGAAGCACTAATTTGAATTTGAAATTTGTTTTATTATCGATTTCAGATTTTGTAACACTTCAACTAATTTTTGATTAAAACAATTAACGATTTCAAAGCGAGCAATGGCAACAGAAAAAAAAAAAAAAAAATTATCTCCAGCGCGCGAGACTGTGTATTGGAAATTCTAAAGACATGCTCATTTAAAATTTGATTTGCGATATTGCTGTTGAACTGAATTTTATAGTTTGAGTACGAAGAACATGATATTTAATAAATAAAGGTAACGCACAAAATGTTAAAAAACGCCCCTTTGGACGTAATTTAAAATCTAAAACTTTTAATTTTTTTTTTTTAATTTTTTTTTTAAATTTTTTTTCTTTCATTTGAACACTTTGAGCTGTCGTATAATCACGAAGTACTTGTGTCTTGGGTTCTTTATAATTAAACTACAATGCTTGCACAAATGAGATCATAGTTATTTTTTTTTAATTCTATGACATTAAGGATAATCTGATTTCTGTAAATATAAATGCAAAGAAACAAATAAAAGTAGGAGAGGAATGCCTCTTAATTTATGCAAATTGAAAGCATCTTATTTTCTTAAACATATCAGAAAATCATTAAGTAATTTAAGAAAATGCATTCAGTTTTCGACTTAACGCGATAATATCGGATATGACGGTTAATTCAAAATAACGGTTAATCGGAAGGCAATCAATTAGGGAAAAAAAGAGGAACATAACTAATATCGTATCGTAATCGAAAAATGCAGTTGACAATTTACCTATTCGTGTAATTTAATCTGTAGAATAAGGCCGTTTGACAAATTAAATCAGTGTTCGAAAGGAAAGACTATTGATTTAAATCGTATTCTAAATAACGGAAGAATAATGTAAATATTAAATGAAGAATCTTAATAAACGGCATTAAAGAACAGTATTTACATGAGAACGTGAGCAATATTTATGTTGTGTTTTCTGGACATATTTTTGTTTTACACTATTAATTTGTGTTCATAATTTCTCTCCGTGCGCTATAAACAAAGGCAACAAATAATTAGTGGTTAAAAGTTTTCAGAGACAATAACAAGTTGCCTTGTATGTGGCATATAAAAGAAAGCAGGTTGAAAGCATACGGAAAGCAGGCAAAAAGAGGTTTAACGTTTCCGCTAAAATAATACATAAAACTAAAACCAAAATATTTGTGCAGCATTATTTTCATGTAGTATATTCTAATAACATACACCCCAATAAAACAGTCTACGTTGCCTTAAGGCACTAATATTATTTTCTTTCTTTTATAAAATGTAATATAAGACGTAGACGGTATTATAAATGAAATGAGGTGATATTTCTCAATTGAACTGAATTGGGAATAATATTACTAATATTTCTCCCTAAGGCTGAAACGGGAATAAAACTGTCAACGGTGAATTAAGATCGGGCTGAATTTTCCCTATCTAGCGAAGCAAAATTCGTTTTTAGAGTTTGGTTTATCCACAAACCGTTAACCTGCTTCCGGACTGTAAGTGGTTTATACACTATAATTCTAAATGTATTATAAATGATCCAAAAAACACACCGTAACTAAGGATAATTTCTTAAGCAATACATAGCAATAAATCTTTGTGAGTATGTGATTGTAAATAGTTGAAAACTGTCAATACGTACATAAATGTTGTTAAAATGTTACTAGAATGCAAAGGAGTCAGTACCTTGTTACCACAATATTTGCCCATCGGCTTCGAATTATCGTCCTCCCCGTCAAATATCTCGACATAATCATAACCGCAGTCTTGTTCTTGCTCGACTTCAAATGTCAAGAAGCGTAGTCTGATCCTGCGATCGTTGAGGCCTTGGATAATCCAATCACAGTCTTCCTTGTTGTCATAATTCTGGTCTCCATATTTTGCGTGAGAATAAAGATGCTCCATAGTGTGACCAGCTAGTAGACGTCCACCGCACACTGTGGCGTAAGAAAAAGAAAGAAACAGAGAATGAGAAAAAAGTTTTTTTTCAGATCTCAAGATATAATATAAAAAAATCTTGTTACGTAATGAGTCGCAAATGTTCACATACTACGAAAATGAAACTGTCATTACTTTTAAAATAATCCAATACATATTCATGCAGGTTCATGAGCAATCTGCATTAGCGACAACGTATAAAGACATTACTTTGTCGTGTACATTCTCTTATTAAAGTTACATGCAGGCCAAAGCGTGCTTAGCTTAATTCTGTTTCCCAGTTTTGGAAAAAGGACACAGCGAGGTTTCTCGTCGCATCTTTTATGAGAGCCATTTTTGCTGCGAAATTATCGCATAACCTTAATCCAATAATAATTATAGTATACAAAATAGAAAAGTAATAATATAATAATAATAACAGTGTAAGAGAATGAAAGATTTTCTTCCTGCAATTTAAGAAAAGGGCTTTTACTTTGAAGAAATAGTTAAACCACCAATCTTTAAACTGCCCTGTTAAGTTTTGCTATAAAACTTTCAATAAATTTAACTGTATTTCTTTACCCCAGCGATGAAGCTGTCCCGTAACTGCCAGGTTTTCCAATTGTCATCGCTCATCAAAGATTTTAAAGAGGGGAAAACTGAAAATACGAAATAGAATTAATTTAAAATGTGCAGCTTTAAGGCTGTTTAAAAATTTAAGTAGAGTAAACCTTTCTAAGCCTATAATTCCAGACGACTTTGGTCTTTTGTGAAGGTGATCGCTTTAGGGAGATAGCGTTCAATACCAATGCTTACTTTTGTTCTCAAAAATATTGGTGGCTTCCAGAGGTGATCGTTTTAATGAAGCGGTCACCGTGAGGAGGTTCATAGTATAGGAAATTTTAGCGTACGGAAGAGTTTATAAAATAATTCTTCATGGTAATAATTCTTGACTGGTAAATAGATTTAAGTGTATAATAATTTATAATGCAAAATTAATCATACGAATAATTTAAACAATTTATTGCGTAAAATGTTTATCACTTTAATAAATATTCTAGAAATAACTAATTAATTGAAACCAATTTTCCCATACTTAGAAATAATAAATGATCAGAAATGTAACAAAAATAGCAGAGATAATTAACAAAGAAATAACAAGCTTAACATGGAGTAAGGATAACCTCGGGATGTTAAATAAAGATGTTTTTAAGACACCAAAGAATCAACATCTTCAGGATATCATCGCATATCCACGACTTAAAGCAGACATCCTCAGGATGTTCAGTTTTGTAGAGCTCAGGACATTTGAGTATCATCTGCTTCAGGTTATCTGGGACATTGGGACTTAAGAAGAACATTCTGAGGCTATTCTACGGAAACACTTTTGGAATATGCTATAAGAACAGTTTGAAAGTGAGCAAAAACATTTGCGAATCATCATCTTCAGGCTATCTTTCGTATGTCCTGGGATTTTGGGACTTAAAAAAAATGACATTTTCAGGATATTCTATGAGAACATTTTTTTAATATGATATGAGGGACAGTTTAAAACTCGGCAAAATCATGAGCCACGATATTATGTCTTTAATCTGGAAAACAATTTCTAAAATTTTTCCGGACTTAGAATATTCTACGTATTGTATAAGTATTGCTTATACTTTTCTTCAATACTGAAGAACGAAAGTTTCTATTCTTCCGATTTTGCCATTTTTTTAAGAACCATTTCATACACAAACCTTCTTATTCAGTAAGAAGTTACTACGATCAAACATCAGTTAGCTGGAAGTAAATAGAATTGCAAAAGCTCTCGTACAGTGAAAAATTCAAATTAATGCGATTTTCGGCGAATTGTTTCAAAATAATTACTACTTACTAAATAGAATTCGAAGATTCTACTTGGATAGCCTGCAAGGATATTTTGCATACAAAGCAAGTCAATCATTTCTGCTTACGTGAACAACGAAAATTGTTCCAAGACACAAAAAATATCGAAACTTAATTAAAAACCAAGGAGTTAGAACTTTTGATGCATTCAGTTGGAAATGATGCATGTAAGTGGCATGCAACTATATATTTCTGATCGCATATATTCGTTTGAAAGAGTTTTTGATGAAATATTTTACTGACTTTGATATATTGATTTTCTTCAAAATCAAAAATTTTAAGTGAAAACACCTAAGTAAATAATACAGGATGATTACTAATAATCCAATGGATTTTGACGTGTTATAGCTTCAAATATATAATGTCCACCAGTTTTGCACTAATAACCAGTTAAAAAATCATATTTTAAAATATTTGTTTATGCCATTGCAAGTTTCTAGATTCACCAGGAGACAAGATGATTAATGACAACTAATCAACAGCAAGGATTTTGTGTGTTGCAATATGAGAAGATTGAATCTGTCACTACCATGCAGTGTGCGAACTTAAGGCCATCAACTCGCCAAAGCATTATGCTATGGTATCGAAATTTAAGGATACAAGTTTGCTCTGTAAATGAAAAAGCTCTGGACGACCAGGTATTGCAGTTGAAGCAATGGAGAATATCCGCCAGACGTTCCTTGTAGCCTAAAGAAATCTACGTGTCGTGCAAGTCGCGAACTGGGCATTCCTCAGTCAACTGTGCTGATAATTCTGCACAAGTGATTAAGTTAGAAACCATATCGCATACATCTGATGCAAAGTTTACAGCCAGTCGACCGCACCATCAAAAGCGAATTTTGAGAGCTTTTCCAGGAAGCAATGGAAGATGACGAATTTACTCCGAATCGTGTTCATTGGTGAGGCAAGGTTCCACCTAAACGATCAAGTGATAGTCACAACGTCCTCATATGGGACACCGCAAATTCCTATGTTACAGTAGAGATTGTAAGAGATTCTTCAAAGATGAATGAATGTGTTCTGTGCTGTTTCACTTAGCAAAGTGTGCGGGCCTTACTTTTCTCCTGGGAAAACTGTGTTGGGTACATATGGTGCAAGACCGGCTGTTTCCAAAACTGATAGCTGATATCCAAAATTTCATATTCCAATAAGACAGAGCTCTGCCTCGTTCGCAGAGAGAAGTGCGTTGCCATCTGAAAGAGAAACTTCTAAACCGGTGGATTGGGCACTGCGCTCAGGATGATTTGGGACTCTTCAAGTGGCCTCCAAGGCCTCCTTACATTACAGTTTGGAATATTTTCCTTTGGGAATATGTTAAAGACAATGTTTGCATACCACTTTTGCCGACAATATAGACGGAACACCAGGATCGCATCACTGCCGCGCTGGTGAACACTAACAAAGATATGCTAGAACTAATATATTCAAACATGATTACGGCATAGATGTTTGTCATGTAATACAAGAACAGCACTCAGAACACTTGTAATGATGCGTAAAAAAAACCTGAAAATGTGCTTTTTTATACAATGTTTCTATCATTCACTATTTTGTTTTCGCAATACTTTGTGAAATACATTCATCCAAAACCCAATGAATCATCTGTAAATCACCCGGTATTATAAAAAGACAAATTTCCCGAGACGATATATCTCCATAGCTGAAAGAAAACAATGTGAAATACTTAAAAATAAAGAATATAAAGGAATTAACTTGCAATCTGAAAACATCATGTTGTAGTCTAACGCCACTAAAAGAAATTCATTATTAAGAATTACTCCCCCCTAAAAATGAAAAAGAACACATTTTTAAATATACGAAAAAACATAAAAGTGTTGTTTGCCTTTGATCTTCAATAAAAGTAATATTTTATGATATCAATTTATAAAATTAAATCTTAGCTTGTAAGGATCTTAAGTTTTACTAACGTTTATTTTATTTTAAATCTTTACTATCACTTCTTATTTTCTACTTCCGGCCAGAATTATAAGCGTTAAGGTTTTTATGCAAAGTTTGTCTGGCGAACGCCAAGTATTTAAGTTGTGGCTTTTTGCCAAGCGAGAGAGAGGAAGCAGTGAGTCGAAGCAGGCCGCTTACCTTAGAAGTTACGCAGTTGCTTTATGCCTTCCAGGCCAGCGGTTTTAATTCTCTTGATAAATTTTAAACGTATTGTAGTGTTCACAGTCCTCTGTACTACATACGCTTCCTGTTAATATAAGGCCAATCTTCCACGTTTATTATTCTTAAGTTAAATTAGAGTTTAATTTTATTTTTATACTTTTACGTTTTGACCCCAAGTAGCGGGTCGGTGTATTCCGAAGTACGGAAGTCATTGTAAATAGAGAAAATAAAGGGTTTTGTATACCCTTCTTGTGTATCTTGTTTACTTCCCACAGTTTTGAACATAGCTTTATAAGCTCTCTGTTCCGAGTCAGGTCCTTGCATGTTCCCGAAGAAGGTTAGAAGGAACATTGAACCTGATAAGCTATAGAATAAGCTTAAAACTCAGCTCATAAAGAATTTCACTTTTAAAATCTCCACTTTTTTTTTTTTTTTTTTTTTTTTTTTTTTTGTAGTTTTGCTCAAAAATTAATTTTTTACGAAATCGCAAAAATTGTTACCTAAATTGCAAAACATTAACAAAATTGCGAAATTGTTAATCAAAATAAAAATTCAGAACAGAAGGAATTTCAGTTTTAAAAGCTCCGATATCTGTTTTTATATTTCCTTCTTGAATGAAAATGGTGTAAGACAGAAAACTACAAAAATATCAAAAATGCATATTAATACTTGAAAGAACTAAATATAAAAATAAAAGTAAATATATATATTTACATTATTGCAATATATGTATTAGAATAAAATTTCTTCATTATCGTACGATTTTCTTAAAGAGACTACTATAAAAGCGAAGAAGAATCAGAAATTTCATATTACATATTATGGGATATTCAAGAAATTTATTTATTATATTTAATGCATAAAACCACATTTGTTGTAAAATATTATTAAGAAGTCCAGATAAAATACGATTTCCAATAAGTTACTTTCTTACGTATTTTCATTATATCGAGGGTTAAGGAAAGATCTCAGACATCTTCGACTGGCAGTAACCTGCTGTCGTATTTTACCT